ATTAGGGACAGCTAGCGCAGATAGCCCTCGTGTAGCTTTGCGTGAAATTCAAAACAAACAAACAAACAGTACTCTAAGCAAAATCTGTTTTTACAATTTTCATTATTTAACAATTTTGTTTGTCCAAAGTATATTTCCGTATCAGTTTAAATTTCTAATAACTCAACATCTTTGTTATTAATTCTAGTTCATATTTTCCTTTCTTTTTTATCGGTACTGGAGTGATTAAATACCATTTTTCAAGACTCTGGTTAAGGAAATACGATACCATAACATAAAAGTGTATGTTTTACTGAATACTTTGTTTTGTTCACATTTTATATTGTTTACATATCTACCGTTTCTTTATCTCACAATCAAAGTTTGTTTTTTTATAGATTTCGCTATTTTATAAAAACAATATAATATGTTTAATATATTATCAGTTGATTTAGTATATTCTAATAATAAACTAAAATATTCTGATTATAGAGTTGATCCCACTTAATTTAACAGGAACATTTTGTATATTCTAATAGTAAACTAATATATTCTGATTATAGAGTTGATCCCACTTAATTTAACAGGAACATTTTGTATATTCTAATAGTAAAGTAATATATTCTGATTATAGAGTTGATCCCACTTAATTTAACAGGAACATTTTGTATATTCTACTACAGTGGCCTGTTCCTACAGGATCGAGCCATGATGCTATAGGAAACAAGCTTAGCACCTATATTATTTAACTGGTTCATGATGAATTCCTGATCCTTCAAAAGTACAATGTTGTCACGGTAAGGCTTATGGCTGGATAATTTTGTCAGAGTTCTTCCTGAAAAAGAATATTTGTATAATGATATTGTTAATGATGATGTAAAGCCAAAAAACAAAACACTTCAGGATGAAAGTAACCTTTATTATTTTCCTACATGGAAGAGGAAAATCTCGTACAACAGAGCGCATGGGCTTTGAAGCTATACCTTAAGCCAATCGGCCACAATACCATCATCTGCAAGTAAAGACTGTAGTTAAGCAAAGGAAGTCCTGTTACCATCAGAAAAGATAATAAACGAGGACTTGAAATTGGCGAAGACTCATCAGGC